AACTTAAAAAGTTCCTATCCAATTTTAACAAACTATATACCAAATTGTTTGTAATAAAATATGACTTGAGATGTATATCAGGAATTTTGTTGTAAACAGCGTGAATACGAGTAATGTGCTATAAAGTTATCAAATTTACATAATTTCAATTGCTTGCCATTTAAAATATACAAATTCAATTTTAACAATCAAAGTATCAAATTGTTCATAATTAAATATTGAAACGCACACTTTATTAGATTAACAATATTTTAATTTTACACTGCATGAATAAGGTAGTTATTTGTTCTAGATCGATTTATAGATGTTATAATTAAAAAATCAAAAATTTAAAAAATTACTTTTTGTATTATTCAATTATGAACAATTTGATATACTGATTATTAAAATTGAACATGTAAATTTTAAATGGCAAGCGATTGAAATTATGTAAATTTAATCACTTTATAGCACATTACTCGTATTCACGCTGTTTACAACAAAATTCCTGATATACATCTCAAGTCATATTTAATTACAAACAATTTGGTATATAGTTTGTTAGAATTGGATAAGAACTTTTTAAGTTATCACAACTCTGAGTCTCTCATAAGAAATACATTACTGCACTTAATGCTGTCTCATTTCTTTGAGTTCATATATCAGTTATACCAATAACTTTGTATTATGATCAATTTACTTTAGCATAATATACCAATGTTACTTATTACCTAACTATTAGTAATTATATTTATACAGTGCAGCTTCTCTTGAAAAAACTTCTTACAGAAAAACACCTCTTCATAAGTAATGGTTTTGAAATATTTGTTGAATTTTCTATAAAATGTTTTAATGTGTTCTGTGAAAGTCCTGTACGGTTGTCAACGCTACTCATCATTGAAAATATAATTTACGATAATTTAGGCAGAATTAGCACTCTTTATAAGAAACTGGCAAACATTTTACAATACAAACTAATTAACAATTAATTAATTTAACATTAATGTATTTAAGTTAATCAACATATTTGCTGCGATTTTGAACAAAATTCTTAATAAGTTGTGAAACTTTTGCCAAACTATTATCGATTTGTATTTTTCGGGAGACTTCGGCCAAGCGTTCAGCCAATGCCTTATCGCTGAGCAGAGTCTCAATCGCGGCCAACAGCTCCTCCTCCGAACACTTGTATGCGTCCAGTCGTAGACCAAAGCCCTTGTCGTGCAGTCTCTGCGCGTTATCGTATTGTTCGCCAAATCCAGGCATAGCTATCATCGGTCGGCCGAAGTAAAGGCTTTCGGTCACCGTATTTATGCCGCCGTGAGTTATGACCAGATCTACGAGCGGTAGGACTGATAACTGCGGCACAGACTCCGCGCCCCACATATTGTTGGCCAGAGTGTACTCCTTATGCTTCGGACCCATCGATACGATGAAACGGTGCGGAGATTTGGCCAAAATGGCGACCAATCGACGCATGTTTTGCACGTCGACCGGACAGAGAGAGCCGAACGAGAAGTAGACCAACTTTCCGGGCTTTGCGTCCAACTCTGGCGGCACAGCGAATGTCATGTGCCGTTCGGTGCGCATAAAGTTATCGAAGCGGACATAATTGCGTCCCAACGGACGGATGTCCTGATAGTCCAATTCCAAGGGATAGCCGTATATATGAAGATAATGCGATGGGTTGTGAAAGCAGTGTTCGGGCAGTGGTTCGCAGCCCCGGCCGACCACCCAATCGTTAAACGCCCGCCACTTCTCGCGCTTCACGTCTCTAACCAATTGGCGAAACTCGTGCCACAGTCTCGGGTCTCCCGTAGCGGACAGTCCTATAAATTTGGCATTCATTTAACTTGCGGTAATTTTTGACTGCAATTTATTTAAGAATGAGTTGAGGTGGGGTGGGGGGAGGTAGCGAAATAAATGGTATGGGCTAACAAACCTGATTCACCGGGTGGTGCCCTCTCATCGTCGACCATCACGAGAGGGCCGACACTCCAACACCACACACACGGTATGCCCAACAACTCCACTGATGGCAGTGTCACCAATTGATCCACAACTATGACATCGGGCCGAATGGCGGGCAACAGACCGGCCAACTGTGTGTCCAAATACTGGGCGTGTTTTGTCCAAAACTCGGCGCCGAATGCCTCGAGTCGGCCCTTCTCTATGGCCGACGCGCCGCCTATTTTACCCGAATCTATCATGAATTGTGCGCAGCTGTCCGTATCATTGGCCGGATCCTCATTACTATCGGTCAACTCTACCGTTTCGACGCCATAAGCGGCCAGTTTTGGTCGCCAGACATCGTTCGCCGTAAACACCGCGCGGTGTCCGTCGGCTATCAATTGGGTCGCAATACCGATACAGGGATTGACGTGACCCTCGCCGAGGATCGGCACGAATAACACTTTTAGTGCTGTTTTATTTGCCATTGTTTTAAATACAATTATTTTGTGTCAAACAAATCAGTTTGTCTCACATCCAGACCCTCTATATCCAGACAATTACGCCAATCACTATCGTATGACCGTATCGTCAGAGCAAAAGTTTCTACATATAAATTGTTAACTCATGTGTACACAAAATATAAGATAAAATTTTTATTGTTTTGAGAATACTATTATAATACACATTCAAAAATATTGTTTCAACCAATATATATCATAAACATAACTCACGTAGTTTTTGACTATTTAAATATATATGAATTTTCTAGACCGAATATTTGTCGACGTATTCGACTTATTAATAATAATGTTTACCATGACTGACATGAAAGTTTTTAAATTTTTAAAAATTATTAATGCTTATAATGTTATTTAAATGTGTAATGTTTAATGTGAATAATAGTTACAAAATTATTGTAGTAATTCAAAAACCACGTCAAAACAAAATCACCCTCAATGTTTTTAGTCTATTTCACCTCTCTCCTGCTCTAAAATGTTCTAAAAATAGCATTATACTAAATTGTACTATGTCACATTTTTGCATTTATTATATCTGATAAAATTGTATAGGAACAACAAGATTTTTTTTAATGGTTTAAAAAATATCAATAGTTGTTTATTTAATTACAGTTAATATTTTGTTTGATTTAATTCCAAAAACACAGTATTTGTAAAGCACATGCCGTGTTGTTTAAAATGACCAGGTAAAATTTGATATTATCGAATGATATAACATATTTTTTATGACATATATTTGTTTCAAACAACTTGATATGCCATTTGATTGTGTAAACTATTTATTGCCAACAACTTTGATGACATTGTAAATTTACAATATCTAACATTTTTGTATTTTAGTAGAAAAATATAAACTCTAAACATGTAATTACAGTATTGTTATCATGTTCATAATTACCACAACACAGAATATATTTGGGAGTCAATACGTGCTCTTTTAATAAAATGAAAATGTTAATTTTTACATACTTACATAAAAATTTATTGTTTATTGTGTTAAAATTTTATAACATACAGGTATATTTAAAGTTAAACATTGCAATGGTTAACAATAAATAAAATAACATTACTGTTGATATAAAAATTACAAACTGAACATGTTTTACAATAGGTTATTATGTTTATAATTAAAACAAAACAAAAATACAAGAATATAACTTTGCAGAGTGATAAATTTAAATTTCGATTTTATTTACATAGGAAGATTTTTATTCGTTGAGGTTTTCAAATATACTATTAATTAAAACTTTAAACTACAAAAAACATATTTGATTTAAACACGTACACATCAATAATTAATTATCTATAGCCGCCATAAATAACAAAATACAACTCAAAGTGTGAAACATTGGATAAATTGAGCAATCATACATTATGGCGATTAAAACGACCATGATGATAATAATGGTCATCATGATCATTGCCGTGGCATTAATACCGGACAGCCAATCAAATGCGGTGCCGGTTCCAGATGGTGAAATTGCCCTGGTAAATGAGGTTGCTAAGGAGTTTCGCTGGCCTGATCAAAGTAACCTGGCTCATGTGGTGGACAATCTGCGCAATACAAAACAAGACCCTAAATCATATGCAACCGTTTATCCTGATCAAAAGTCGACCACTAAAAGTCCTAAGAAAGTTATTAAATTACTCGTTAATATCGATGATGATCTTGATTATGTAAACTAATAAAATACTTTAAATTTAAATCTATTTTATGTTAATTTAATTTTTTTTGTTCAGTCAATATTTTATTTAACTTGGGCGCCCCTTTTTATTCAGAATAAAATTTTTACATTTGAATATACTGTAGGTATTATTATCAATACAATACTGTATTTACATATCTTGTTTTCTATAGCATATTTTATCATCTGATAATAATTTATAAACTAAATAGTGAGCTAGCAATCTGTTAATAACATTAGCTTAAAATATTACCAAATAAAATTAATCTAACAATATATAATTAAGTAAATATTTTTAAACAAAGCCTAGTAATACATTGTTAAGTTAAATAATATGTAAAATTAAAAAACTACTTTCTAAATAATTAATTAAAAACTGTAAATAAGTAAATACAACATTATTAAGAGGATTATTAGATCAATACAAGTACTTTGTGGAACCATATCCCGAACCAGTTATTACATTTGCATTATACACAATTAATAAATTATAATTTAGATATCCAATAATTTTACAATAAACTATATTACTACATTATTATGATTTTGTAATAAATAAAATTGTTTGCATAGAAATGTGTTCTATGTATATTTCATTTTTGAAATCAATTTAAAATAATAATTATAATTCAATGATTCAACATGTTGAGCGACTATGGTTAAGCAGATAATAATAGTTTCATTATATACAGTAAACAAGTAATTAACAATTTATTATAATGTGTATAACTATTTTTAAATAATATTGAATTGGACAGTAACGATTGTGATAATGTATAAATTTTTATATATTAAACTTTATAATAATTAAAATAGCTATCTTGTTTGTAATACACAACATATTGTAAACATTTAATTGCAGCATTTTTATTATGTTCATAATTACCACAAAGCAGTATATTTTTGGATCATCAAGTGTGGGTCATTTAATAAATTGATATAAATATTTTCAATATTCAATATGCTAAAAAATATATTTATTATTTCATCATGGTAGTCAAATAAATATATTAAAAGTTAGAAAAAAATATTTTGTTATAATTAGTGTTGAAAATAGTGTCCAAAAGAGAGCGTCGTTTGTATTGAAAACTATTGAATGACTTTTTGTACCAAAAATTTGTGGTTAAAATCATAACAAATAAACATTTCATACAATTTTTTAAAAATTCATTTAGTATTTAATTAAATGTTTTTATTTTTATTTATATTTTGTATGTTTTATATAATTGTATGAAATCTATGGAAACATGTTTTAAATACTGAATAAATTGTAAATATATTTCAAAACATTGTTATTGTATTTAAAAGGCCGACAAAAACACGTGTTTTGAACGTAAGTATTATTTAATGAATTGATTTGTATTTTATCTCAATTTGTAATTAATATTAATATTATTTATAAATTTATTATAGATTTAAATGAATTGAAAGCAAACTATTGTCTCATAAATATTGGAAGAATAACCCCAAGAAGTGATTGAGTGTTGAATACAAACAACAATTGAATGAATAATAATGAATGAAATGAAGAGAAGAAGAGTTGGTCTCAGAAGTGATGCCAACA